CTGCCCCTGGCCACGAGTAAAACGTGCCTGTGATCACCGAGAAGTGGCCCCCATGTCCGTGACCCTGACCGTCCCCAGAATAGGCCCAGACACAGCTCACTGGGCCCCGTCCTCCAAGCCGGGCTGTCCCGGCCTCCGCAGGAGCTTCTTATCGGAGCAAAAGGAACGACAGGGCTTTTCCTGGACCAAGTGCTGGGCTTCCGCACCCCTTCTCCCTCTGGGGGTCGGCAGGCGAGACTGAGCAGATGGATGTGAAGATGCAGCTGGGACGCCGCCCTGCAGGTCGCCTGGCGCAGAGGGTCGCCGGGTGCGGCCTCTAGATGACTCTCTTGGTTCGGTCTGGACGTTCCTCGGACACGAGAAACTCCCTGGTGGTCACCGAGTTCTTCAGGTACGGGTTGAGCGCCCCCTCCTCGCAGGGGCTGGCGGGCCCTGGGCGCTGGGCAGAAGGGAGAAGTCGCTCCTCAGCTTCTGGGCAGGCGCCCTCCCAGCTGCCAGAGCGCAGGCACTGGGGCTCTCTGGGCGGAACCTCGGCCACAGTGGGCGGAGCCTTGGGTGAAGTGGGAGGAGCCTTGGCTGCCATGGGCGGGACCCCAGTCACAGTGGGAGGGACTTCAGCTGAAGTAGGCGGGCCCCCAGGTGAAGTGGGAGGGGCCTCAGCTGCAGTGGGTGGGGCCTCGGCAGCAGTGGGCAGAGCCTCGACTGCAGTGAGCGGAGCCTGGGATGAAGTGGGAGGAGCCTTGGCTGCCATGGGCGGGACCTCAGCCACAGTGGGAGGGACTTCAGCTGCCATGGGCGGGACCTTGGCTGCAGTGGGAGAAGCCTTGGATGCTGTGGGAGGGGCCTCGGCTGCAGTGGGCGGGGCCTCGGCTGCAGTGGGAGGGGCCTTGGCTGCAGTGGGCGGGGCCTCAGCTGCAGTGGGTGGGGCCTCGGCAGCAGTGGGCAGAGCCTCGGCAGCAGTGGGTGGGGCCTTGGCAGCAGTGGGTGGGGCCTCGGCTGCAGTGGGCGGGGCCTCGGCTGCAGTGAGCGGCTCCAGGAGACAGTAAGGCCTGAAAGGGGAGATCACGTACTCGTTCTTGTCCCCTCCCAGGATGTTTTCCTGGCCCTTTTCTGCCTCCTCTGCGGAATCCTCTTCCAGGAAATTGTCAAAGTTCACCGCCAACTTGTCAATGAGGTCGCTGGGGGCAGCCCAGGGCTTGAGAATCCTGTCCTCTGTGCTCCCGGCATCATCGACCTCCCTCAGGTGCAGCTTATCCTGGAAGAGAGAAGGGACCCCCAGGGGTCATCTGGGGGCTAAAGAGGAGTAACCAGGCTCCCTGGGCAGGGACACCCCATGCCCAAGCCAGCGTGGAGGCCCCTCACCCCCGCGTGCCCCTCCGTAACAGCCTGGCCCCTTTCCTGAGAAGGAACACACTGCCTTCCAACAACTTCTCCTTCTAGGCACTTGGAGGCTATTTCCCACAATCCTCTGCACACCCAGCTCCGAGGAGAGCATGACCGAACGCTTTCATATGGAAAACCATGATCACAAAGTCAACGGCTTGTCCCACGTCACCCGAAACTCAAGGTGGCTCCTGGCAGGACGATGTCATCCCGTCATCTGTGCATGGCCAGGCCCCGCCCCTGCCCCAGGCCCCGCCCCCCGCCCGGCACCTGCCAGGCAGCGAGAGACAGGTAAGTGCTGCCATAGAGGCCAGACCTACAGATCCTTCAGGAAGCATTTAGGTGCCGGGCAGCACTGCCTGTGAGCTCACTTACTGTCCCGTGACTTTTAATAAGTAGGAAAACAAACAGGTCATGCTAGAGGAGGGAGAAGACAGAAATCCAAACAATAACTAAAATAACTCAGTAAAAGTGATTTCTGCAATGTCCACAGTTAAATGCCATGCTCAACTGAGACTTCCGAGTTGAAGCAGAGGCTAATATTAAACCTCCTGCACCAAGAACTGCCGGAAAGAAGCTTTCAATGGTAAGGATTTGGAGGTTCTATCTGATGGGCTTATTTTCACTGAAGAAATTCAGCCTTGACATTTCCAGACGGTTTTCAGGTTAAAGCGTATGAGAAAGGAGGTTTCTGCGTGTGAGCCACTCGCTGGCACCCGCTGCCTTAGTGTGAGGACACCTTTCCCAGCCCGGAACCCGCAGGAGCCCCGCCAGCCCGGCCCCTGCGCCCACCGCCGGCCCCGCAGGGGCTCCGGGCAGGCACGTGCTCACCTTGAGGTCCCCGCCTCGCCACGCGGCCAGGCTGCTCTCCGCAGGGTTGGGGACGTCCGGCCAACACAGGCGCTTCAACCTGCAGAGAAGAGGAGGTGCTCACACAGGGTGAGTCCGTGCACGGGGGCGGGGCTGGGCCGGGCTTTGCTCGGGAGCCGCTGGCCCCTGGGACAGAAGGGCAGCCCGGCTCCCTTGGCTCAGGCTGGGGAAGCGAAGCCGTGTGGGGGTGCAATGCAAGTCACACGGGGACCTGGGGGAAGAGACCTGCCCCTCACAGCGAATCCCCCCCCGTCCCAACCCCCACAGCCCCCCAGGGCCTTCTTCTGAGGGTGATCGGGGGAGAGCAGTGCTCAGGCCCAGGGACTTTGTCAGACTTGTCTGCACTGGAGCCCTGGCTACAACCTGCCCGGGCTAGCGGTTGAAGCCTGGCGGGGAACCATGGTTTGCCAGCTTGCTCGGGAAGAAGGGGAAGCCTCCCGGGAAAGGAGCCCCTGAGCTCCCCTTGAAGGGCAGCAGGGTCTTCCTGGGGGCCGGGAGCACCGCGCCCCTGAAGAAAGCTTTCCTTTCCCCGGGGGGGGGCCAGCCGGGACCCCCCCTGGCGCCAGCCCTTGGTTCCGCCCCCGCCAGCAAGGAGCCCTCCTGTGCCCAGCAATTTGGTTGGCCCGGGGCCGGAAAGCTCCCCGGGCCAAGGGTCCCCCCCTCC